AATATGATCAGGTAGGATGCTAATAGAGGAGCGAGGAGAGAAAACGAGGAAGAGAAATGAGCAGGCAGGAGGAAAGGTCGGAGAAGACCTCGTGATGGTGTAAGGCCAGATGGAGGAGATGCCGATGCCAACGCCGCACCAGGTCTCGCGTCCTTCGACCTGATCCGGATTTTGCTGGAGAGGAGGATGAGCATTAGGAGCAAGAGGAGCAGGAGGAGCAGGGAAGGGGCAGGAGAGCAGGAGGAGCAGGAGGAGCAGGCCGGAGGAGAAGGAGCAGGCCGGAGGAGGAGGAGATTGGAAGGAGGAGGAGTGCCTCGTGTCGCTGTGAAGAAGCACAAGGAGGAGCAAGGGCAGAGGGGAGGGACATGAAGAACGGCAGCAGAAGCAGGGAGGACAGAAGCATCGCGGAGAACGGAAGAGGGAGAAGGAAGGATGAAGGAGGAGGAAGAAGAGAGAGAGGAAGAGGAAGAAGAGGAAGAAGAGGAAGGGATTTATTTCTACCTGCAACTTGACAAGTTCTTGGACCAGAAACTCGCACTGTTCGCTTGAGGGGTCAGCCTTGCGACCGTTGACAAGCTCCATGACTGCAATGAGAGAAAAGAAGAGAAAAGAAGAGGAGAGGAGAGGAGAGGAGAGGAGAGTAGAGGAGGAGGTAGGAAAAAGACGGAAAAAGGGGAAGAAGGGAAGAGGAGGGAAAGGAAAGTTGTGGAGTCAAAGGTTCAGACATTCATCGCATGGACATCGATCATCTGATCGATGGAGACGCGATATAGAAGGAGAGGAGAAGGAGCAGCATCAGCTGAAGGAGGAGGAGGAGGAGGAGGAGCAGCAGCAGCAGCTGAGGAAGCAGAAAGAAGAAATGGAAAGGAAATCAGAAGAGGGAGGGACAAGTGGGGATGACACTAGAGGAGGAGAGAAGGGGGGTAGTACTAGAGGAGAGGAGGGGGGTAGTACTGTTCATTTTCTCTGCTCTATAGCGACCACCTGGTGTAACTTCCACTCCTACTCGCTCTTCCTCATTCTTCCTCCTCCTCCTCTTCCTTATTTCCGTCTCCTCCTCCTCCTCCTCCTCCTCCTCATTATCATCATCATCATCAGCAGCAGCAGCAGCAGCAGGAGCCCCATTTATTCATCCCCGTATTCATACTCATATTCCTGTACCTCCCTACTCCCCTCAGCATCCTCCTCCCTTATCCCCTCCTCCTCACCTTGTTTGAGAGCAGGTTGATCCACGGCTTGTCGGAGAGGATGGACTGCCGCGCAAGTCAGAGGAAGACTCAGCTGAGCAGTAGCTCACCTTTCTGCTGGGAACGTTCGTGCTGGGACCCTCCTGACCACATGGTGAGTGACAAGCGAGTAGAGGAGGACGCTAGAAGAGAAAGAAGAGAGAGGAAAGGGAGGCGAGGATGAAGCGAGCGGAGGAGAGAGAGGGGGGAGGGGGGCGAGAGAGAGGAGCAGCTGCAAAGAATGAAGGGGAGGACGAGGAGCTGGAGCGAGCGTACCATGGACTTTCTCAGAGTTCCAGAGCTCTTCTTGTTTGACTTTCTCAGTTAAGCTTTGTCTCAAGCGGCTGCCAGTCAAATCAGCGCAGAAGGAGAGCACCAGCGCCAGCACTAGGACTAGGACTAGGACTAGGAGAAGGAGCAGGAGCAGGAGCAGGAGCAGGATGGCACGTCGTTGACACTGACGATCTGATCGCCGGGCTGGACGGGAGAATCTCCGCCCTAAGAGAGCAGGGGGAAGGATGAGAACACGAGAGACGAGGAGAGAAGAAACGAGCGAGAAGACTGTCCTCACCTCTATCCCGAGCTTTTGGATGATGTAAGGATGGACGCTGGTGATGACAATCCCTGCGGGCAGATGAGGATGAGGAGACGCTGGTGATGACAATCCCTGCGGGCAGATGAGGATGAGGACGAGGATGAGGATGAGGATGATGATGAGGAGGAGGAGCAGAGACAGTCGTAGGGGGAGCGGGAGAAGGCGAGAGCAGAAGAAAGCAGAAGATAAGCAGAGGTTGGGAGAAGGGGGGCAAGACGAGAAACGTGTATGATAGCAGCAGCAGCAGCAGCAGCAGCAGCAGCAGCAGCAGCAGCAGCAGCAGCAGCAGCAGCAGCAGCAGCAGCAGCAGCAGTTCGAGGAAGGGAGTCACCGAGTCCTCGCCAGTCCGTCTTATGTCGCTCAGATGCGTCCATCTCCATCTCGTGAGTCTGCCGTTCAGCTTAGCTCCTGCTCCTCCATCTCTCCTCCCTCCTCCTCCCCTTCCTCCCCTTCCTCCCTGCCTCCTCTCCCTCCCTGCCTCCCTGCCTCCCTCCCTGCTCTTCTTCATTCTCACACTCTCCTGCTTCGCTCTATTTCTCCTTGAATTCCCCACCCCTCCTCTTCCCCTCTTCCTCTTCCCACCTTCCCTGCGTCCTGCACGACTGGATGGTTGATTGGTACTTGGTTGATTACTTGGAAATGGTAGATCAACAGAAGAAACCGATCCCCATTTGAAAGTTCGGTATCGAAGGAAGGGTCAGCCAGGAACAGGGAAGAAAAACAAGATTATCAACTCCAGAACGGCCATGATCAAGTCATATTTCAACGGAGCATCTGTGATCGATGTGCACAATCACCTTAGACAGAGTGGACTGGGACTAGAAGAAAAAGTTCCAACTCATGACTGGAGATTCAGAATGCTCTGTACGATACTTGGGTTCATTGAAGTGGATGCAGACAAGATTTTCCGTGTTGGAA